TGAAGTCAGAGCTCCAGCTGAAGCTCTTCCCACATTCTCCACACTTGTAGGGCCGTTCCCCCGTGTGGATCCTCTGGTGTTCCCGCAGGATGGAGCTGCAGCTGAAGCCCTTGCCACACTCCCCACACTCGTAGGGAGTTTTCCCTGTGTGCATTCTCTGGTGCTGGATCAGGTAGGAGTTCCGGCTGAAGCTCTTCCCACATTCCCCACACGTGTAAAGCTGCTCCCCAGTGTGCATCATCTGGTGGCGGAGCAGGTCAGAGCTGTCTCTGAAGCCCTTCCCACATTCCTTGCATTCATAGGGCCTTTCCCCGGTGTGGATTATCTGGTGGCGGATCAGGTAGGAGTTCTGGCTGAAGCCCTTCCCATATTCCCCACACTCATAGGGCCATTCCCCAGTGTGGATCAGCTGGTGACGGAGCAGGTGGGTGCTTATACTGAAGCTCTTCCCACACTCCAAGCACTTGTAGGGCTTCTCCCCAGCTTGAAGTTGTTCATGGACCACCAATTCTGAGCTGTGGCTGAAGCTCTGGCACAGGGTGGGTTTTTTCCCCTCAGAGCACCCTGGCCTGGGTTTACAGCCCCTCCTTGTGTGGGATCTCCGGGGCTTTTCCTCCCCATTGGATTCCTGTGCTGTGGAGCCGCTCAAAACGGCCTCTTCCATGAGGTTCTGCCGGGGGGATTTATCCTTCTTGGTCTCCATCCTCAGCTCATTGCCTGGAGGAGGAAGGAGAAGGAGAAGATGGGATTTCCCTCCGTGCCAGAGGGAAGGGGAAGGAGATCCCCCCAGTCCATTCCCAGCAGAATGGCATCAGCACCGGGGTTCTCCTGCAACCAGGAGCGATGCTCGGCTGGGAGATGGAGGAGAGGAGAGGGGAAAAAGGAGCAGTGACATCCTCCTCACCTGCAGAGGGGTCCTGAGACATCCTCTTCCTCACAACTTCCTCCTTCTCTTCCATCTGACCAAGGTTGGGGAATGGCAAATACTACTTTAGGGGAAAAACAAGGGATGAGCACACTGAGTCTGAATGTGACACTGCTCAAGTCCATCTCTAGAAGGCACTGGCATCTACTGTCCACAGAAACCTCCCAAACACCAAAATCTAGCCTCAAAAAGTCCTCCTAGGAGTTCCCAGTCTCTGGTCTCTACCCTTTCGTGTTCAGGGGTTCTACCTGTCCTGGCTGCAGAGGGTCCCATGTGTTTTGGGGCTCCCCCTCTCTCCTTCATTCCCACCCTCCCCAGGCTGCTGAGAGTCCCAGGAATCTGAAAAGTTCCCCCTCTTCAGTCTCCCCACTTAGGGATGCTGGAGATTTTTGGAGTCCTGGGGTTCCTTCTCACTTTATTCTCTGCTTTGGGGCACAGGGGATCCAAGGAGTCCCCGGTCTCTGTCTCCAGGCTGTTGAAGGTCTTGAGAATCATGGCACTCCCCACTCTCTGGGGTCCCCACTTGGAGGTCCTGAGAGACACAGGGCTCTGCTCCTCCACACTGCCGGGGATCCCCTGGTCCTGGTATTACCCCTCTCCTTTTGTCCCACACTGGAATTTCCTAAGGTTGTT